ATGAGCTTAAGACCAGAGGATGTTTTCAATGGCATGAGAGTAGAAATAAAAGTAGAAACTCACATTTTAGTTATAGGACTGTGACTGACAATTATATTTCTAATTTTCCAACAGATAGCGTTTTAACAATTAATTTATTATTTTTATTTTAGGTGTATGTGTGTATTGTCTGCATGTAGGTAAGTGCACCTGTGTCATGCAGTGCCCAGGGAGAACAGAAGAGACTGTCAGATTCCCTGGAACTGGAGTTATGAATAGTTGTTACCTGCCATGTGGGTGTTGGGATTTGAACCTGGGTCTTCTGCAAGAACAGTCAGTGTTCTTAACCTCTGTAAGTAAGTTCAATAAATTCATTGGTTCCCCAGTAAAACTTTAATCAAACATTGGCTCGATGCTAAAACCTTAAAAGGGAATAAGCATTGCTTAGCATGTCCAGGGAAAGAACTCTCACAACAGATGGAAAATTTATTTGTCAATGCTATTATGTCTCATAATTATTTTTTTGAAAAGGAGACTGTAAAAAGATGTTTAACGGATATGGAAATAGAGATATTTTCCAAAATAGAAAAAATGAGAAAGCCTAAGCAAGTGATGAAGATCTATTTAAGTTTGTTATGATATATAAAGGATGAGACAATGAAAATTGTAACTTTGTTTACAGAAACTTTGGAAACACATAGCTTCTCTAGATTGATCATATTCCCTACAGTGTTAGGATTTAATATAACAGAATACATGTATCAAAAGTAAGGAGTTATCATAGTTAAATTACTACTAACTAATCTCAACTTTTATTTAAATTTAATAGATGTTGTTTTTCCAAACGTTTTTTCAAAACTAAGGCCTTTTTATGTTCCAGGATCCAGCAGAAAACATCGCATAACAATGATTCATCAAACTTCGTCCATCTGTTCCCTTACTCCTATTTTATATTAATATTTTGTCAATTGTCATTTTATTGTTGAATGTACACTTAGCATGAAAAACTGATACCTCGAATAAAATCATTGTTGAAAGAAATGTGAAGATGGATTTCGGAACCAGAACAGCTTGGGTCCAGTCCCCAGGTGAGGCAAAGTCACAGGTAGTAGTTGACGTTCAGGGAGGCCATGGAGACCCCACGAGATGGACTTGAACCAGTGTCCAGTCTACAAAGAAGAGGGTCAACTCAGAGGAAACATCTCACTCATGCTTCCAAGTGAAGCCAGACATGGTCGAGCAGAACCTTTGACTTATTTTCACATAGACAGAAAAAGAAAGGAGCCAGGGGCTCCTCCCAAGCCCATGTGACCCCTGAGGACTAGATCCTCAAATGACCTCAAGAGTAAAAACAAATTGATTTATTTGGGCCAACTGTATGGCCTTAAGCACCCAAAATGAAAGTATGACCAAAGAGTAAAGTCATCAGTATATTTCTTTAAGAGTTCAAGGGATTACACGTCCCAGACATTAGGCTTAAATCTATATAAAAAGTTAGACAATTATTTCTCATTGATGATTTTGTTCCTAACCAGAAAGTGCTGCTCGGATGTAAGATTTCAAATCTTGGTCTCCAACACTGTAGTGCCCACTTGTAGCTAAGGGAGACAACCAGCTATTGTTCTAGAATGATGGATAAGTTTGTTTTCTCCCCCTATCTAGAAGCCTTTGATAGGGAACTGGCACTGATTCTAACCATTCCAACAGCTATCAAAACACCTGAAAGTAAATCCTGAATCCATCACTCTAGAGTCCAGCCTTGGAAGACAAAAGAAAAATGAGGAGGAACCCAATAGAGGGATGCTTTTGGAAGCCCTTGTCAAGAAATTCCAGTGGACTTTCATATGAACATTTGAAAATTGCCCTGTTCTGACTTTTTTCTAGTTCTCTGTCTAGAACATGTAATGCTAATTACTCTTGCCTTTACTTCTCCTTCATATCTCCTATTCATGATTCAAGGATGTTCTTTTCCCCCTAGAGATAAGAGTTATACAATTTGGGAGTCTTTTGGATAGACCCACTGAAGGGGTACTTCAACTGCCTCACCCTGCATCCCTGTTCAGGATGGAAGAAGCTAGAGCGGTCTGCATCCCGATTCCCTATTGGCAATTTGGGTAACCTCTTTAGAGGATACTATGATAAGAATAGGAGGTAGGAATTGGCTAGGCAGTTAGGGTAAAAAGACCCCAAAGAAAAGTAGCCAGTTCCTTGGCTAAAAGTCAAAATGTCCTTGGGCCTCTTAGCAACATAACTCTGTTTCAAAAGCCAAAAATGTCAAAAATATTTGGGAGCTTTTATCTAATCTTTAAAAGATTTTAAGGTCACCTCCTCAGAGGGGGGCGAATATTAGAGTAGCCAAAAGCCCCATAAAAAAATAAATCATAATCAAAGTTGAAGAAAGAGCATATGAAGTTATCAGAAAAAGTGATAAAAGCAATGGGAGTTGGAGGGGAGGGAGTGGGCATGGATTTGATCAAAACACCTTATATGCATGTATGAAATCCTCAATAAATTATTTTAAAAAAATAAAATATATAAAAAATAAAATAAAAGAGGGATGGGATGTAGTTCAGTGGTACTTGGGTAAAATGCACAAGGTCCTGGGTTCAATCCCCAGTACCACAAAAGTGAAAAATGTTTAAAGGACAGACTAGATCAAAAGTCTGCACTTCTGCATAGCCAAGTCTTGGAACTCCCCACCCGCCTGTTTTCAGGCACAAGGATTCTGGCATTGTGTTTAATGCTTTCATTCAGAAAACATCATGCTAATGAGGGCTCTGTGGGAATGGAGAGTTTCCCAGTGAGACAATATCTGCAGGTGATAATATTTCTATGCACTCTGGCATCTAAACACCTGAGCTGGGAGACGTTTCTATATATAGTCATCATGAGATTTCAGCAAGTTTCTCATCCCCTCAGTTTCAGTCTACTGATCTGTAAAATAGAATCACTTTATGACCTCCTGGAGTTTTTGTGAGGATTAAATAAGATCATGTATGTGAAGCATTGGAGGCTCAAGAGTATTACCCTCCACGGCGACTGTTATTGGTGTTATGGTCATTGTTATGCCCATCAGCAGGTCACTCATATCACAACAGAATATGACTGAAAATGGGGGGTTTTGTAAGGGCTCTTTGAGTGAATTTATCACTGCAGGGGACAGCGTTGTATCATGTCACATCATGGCTGACATCTAGTCATCTATGATATCAACATTTCCAAGATTCTAAATCAAGGACAGCATTTTTCCTTGCAGGCCAGCAACAGCTCCCCAGTTTGCAATAAAAAGCTCAGAAGTTTGGGCTGGAGAGATTGCTCGGTGGTTAAGAACACTGGCTGTTCTTGCAGAAGACCCGGGTTCAAATTCCAGCACCCACATGGCAGATAACAACTGCCTGTAACTCCAGTCCCAGGGATTCGACAGCCTCTTCTGTCCTCCAGCAGCATTGCAAGACATGGGTGCACTTACCTACATGTAGGAAATACATGCATACACATAAAATAAAAATAATAAATAATAAACAAATAATTTTTTAAAAAAAAAAAGCTCAGAAGTTGAAGCACCTTAGGAGAGCTGCTTTTTAGCACCATGAGCATTGGAGCCACCACAGCTGGAGTGGTCACTCTCAGAGAACACGGACTCTGAGTGGTCTAGAATGATATAAAAGACATCTGAGTGTAGAGCTGCTTGCCACTAAGCTTGGCTACTTAAAAAACATCTGAAAATTTGAACTTATGTCCAGTGATAATTGGTTCTAATTCTCTACCCCCAAAAGATCACATGTCTGGAAATAATACCCCCCCCAGCTTCACACTTTCTAATCTCAAAGTAGCAATGAGTCTTTACTATGACCTATACAGGTTTAGAGCAGACTATGAACTATACTAGAAGAATCTTCCCAGACTTCACTCACCACACATTCTCTTCCCAACATGGCCGCAGTGACAACAGGCAGAGACATTTCCAAGATGCCTAGCACATTGGGTGGGTGCAAGTTGGGGAGGTAGAACACTCACTGGACTTGGCAATTCATAGTGCCAGTGTTGTACTGAGGTGGCAAATATGGAAGCTATGGCACTGACATTGAGGTATCTGGGCCATGGCACATAGTCTGAGGTCACTCACACACTTACCACATAACCCAGTGCACTTGTTATATACAGTTTCAAAAGGCAAACATCTAGGGGCCTGTGCTCACCTTGGAGAGTAATCTGGCCTGGAACAAGTTTATCTAATCTCCTGCCTCAATCTACTATGACAGATACTTCCAGAGAGCAGCGTCAGAAAGGCAACGCAGCACTGGACTAGCCATCTCACTTGTCCAAGGACTGGAGAGAAGATAAATCAAATGGGCTGAGGCAGCATCCTCACAAATATGTAGGCAGGACTCTCCTAAAACGCCACTGAGAACAACACCCCCGCTGACCACCGAATGCACTGATCCTAAAAGAGAATGTTAGATGAAGAATAACAAGAGGTTCTTCCACAAGAGCCTGGCATGAAGGAGCTTCCAGAATCAATGAAAAAGCTCAATAACCAGGATTGTTTGAGGAACCTCAGCACTAAAAGCTCTGGGCCCTTTCAGTTCTGATGCCATCACATAGCCCACGGTCACTTACACATTGTTAGCCACACTCTAGGAGCTTGCTAAGCACAATTCAAGCTCAGTGTGGCAGAGGAGGATGCTCTCCTCTTAGTGAATAATGTAGCACTATGACAGAATATGGCTTTCTGCTCCCTTCCATGAAAGGATCAGGTTCTCAGGGAAGATGGCCCAATTGGCCACTCTCCATCAAATGTCACACCATCTTGTAGTCAAGATATGAGGGGTACCCAGAGGTCAGTGCAATACAGACTCGGTCATCAGAGTGTCTCTAGCATCTACCATGGTTTGTGAGGACTACAACAGCCCTGGACCTCATCCCTACTGCCTGGAGCTCTCATCCTTCCAATGCTCTTGTGAGGGTAGCCCCAGAGACTGTCATTCACACCCAAGGAAAGCCTATGGTCACACACTTACTTATCATTTACAAGCTTCCCATGTTGGTGAATCTGGTTCTCCATTGTGAAGTTGATGGTGGCGCCATGCACATGCTCACCAAAAAACACCTTCATTTTAGACTTGTATTCTTCATCCTGGAAATACCGGATCATATCAGGGAACCACACAGTCAGGCCATAGTAACTGCAAAAGAGAAGGCAGAACATCTGAACAACCCCAGGGCTCATTCCTTCAGCAGCAGAATCTGTAGCTTTGACTTGATCCAGATCAGACTTGTGGAGATGTAGTAATTCAGTTAATTATTAGAAAATCTCACAATTCAAAACTCACCATATTAACATATTTAAAGAAGAGAAAAGGGATTTTGAAAACCATTTCATTAAAAAGCTCTTTTCTTATTAAAAATAAAAACTACCAGTAGATTAGGAATTGATGGGCACTTCCTTAACTTATAGAAAGTACATCTTAACTCGAAAGCCAGAACTAAAATAAAAAAGGAAGCACTAAATACATTCCCACTAGTGTCAGGAACAAGAGAGTGCGTTCACTATCACTTTGACTTAACAGTATACTGCAGCTCTTAGAGAACCTGGTTAGACAAGAGAAAGAACAGAAATGGGGGCTGGGAAAATGGTTCAGTGGATAAAGCTCTTGAAATGCAAGGGTGGGGACCAGAGTTCAGATCCCCAGTGTCCCAGTAAAAACTGGACGGGTGTGGTGGTCCACCTGTAACCCCAGCACTCAGGAGGGGGAGTCAGGGGATCCCTGAGGCAAGCTGGCTAGCTAGACAATCAAATCAGGGAGATCCAGGTTTAGTGAGAGACCTTGCCTTAATAAATAACATGGAGAGCAATCAAGGAAGATGCCCAACTTTCAACCTCTAACCTCCACACATGCACATATGTGCACACATGTAAACATGCATACATACAACTACACATATATGCATGCAAAAACTAACATTGAAATGTGAAATGCAAAGCAAGAGGTAAAACTAGTTCTATTGGTGAATGATAGGATTTGTACCTCCAAATGCAGGATAACCAATTCAAAAAAAATGGATATTATTAGAGGTTTTTTGGGGGTTTTTTGGTTTTTTGGTTTTTTGGTCTTTTTGAGACAGGGCCTCCCTATAGCTCCAGATGTCCTGGAACTCACTATGTAGACCAGGCTGGCCTTGAACTCATAGAGATCCGCCTGCCTCTGCCTCCCAAGTGCTGGGATTACAGGCAAACGCCACCATGCCCAGCCCTATTAGAGTTTTTAAAGGATGTTCACTTCTATTGCTATTAAGAAAAATAGAAATTGAAACCACCACACTCTTGTGATTCTCAGCAGCCAGACTGTCAAAACCCCAAAGTTTGCTAAGACACTCTGCTGAGAGACTGTAGGTTGTCAGGTGCTTTCATGAATTGCTGAAAAAAAGGACAAAAATGTGCAATACCATATGGAGGAGAGTTTGTCGGTACCTAAAAATATTTCTGACAGATTTATCCCTTTCAACCCTTGAATTCCACTTCCAGGAAACTATGCAATTAACAAAACAGCCCAAATACAAAGTGTCTACACACACAGCTACTCATTGTGACATTGTTTGCAATTGCAAGAATCTGGAAACTTCCCCAGAGTCTAGCAAGAAAGCCTGGTTGAATAAAGGATAATGGTTTAGTATTAGGTGCTACACAGAAATATGCTACTGCACAGAAGGAAGGCCAGGCATGGTAACATGTGCTTGTAATCCCAGCATTTAGGAGGTAGAAGTGGGAGAATCGGGGTTCAAGGCCAGCTTTGACTATATAATGAGTTTCAGGCCAGCCTGAGCTACATGAGACCCCCATTTCAAAACACAAAAGAGAGGGGAGAGAGACAGAGACAGAGACAGAGAGACAGAGAGGAGAGGAGAGAAGGAAGGAAGGAAGGAAGGAAGGAAGGAAGGAAGGAAGGAAGGAAGGAGGAAAGAAAGAAGAAAGTAAAAAAAAGAAGAAAGGGAGGGAAGAAAGGAGAAGGGGGATGGAAAGAGGGAGGAAAGAAGAAGGAAGGATGAAGGAAGGAAGAAGGAGGGAGGGAGGGAGGGAGGGAGAAGGAAGGAAGGAAGGCCTTAATTGATTGGTATGGATAGATTTCCAGTATATATCACTGAAAACAAAAAAAATGTAAAATGTTTTCCTTTGAATAAGAAAAATCTCTCTTTTTCTCGTGTGTCTGTGTCTGTGTCTGTATATATACTTTTGAAAACATCTACATATATATATGTATACATTTGCTTACATTTGAAAAAAGAATCACTGAAGTGATAAGCAGGAAATACAAGACAATTATATACTAGAGGCAGAAGGGAGTGGGTAGAGAGGAGGGAATGGATGTAAGAATTCTCTGTTTCAACATTTGGAATGCATTACCTATTCAATTAAAATAAATTCAACATAAATAAATACAAATAAGACATTTTTTAAACTACCAGTGAATTGAATCTCAATGTCTGCCTATCTAGCTTCTGAAATGTTAGAATTTAATAATTTGAGAGCAGCAGGGTCAGGCTTCATCTATAATCTACCTGTTTGGGTCTAAAGGGCAGCTCTCCATGAACGGGTACTGGAAGACACTAGATCTCCCATATCATTGTCAACGAGGTTACTAGAGCTCACTTGCTTTCCTGGGGCAAAGGGATGTGTTTAGGGCATAGGCAGTAGAAAAGAGCAATTTCATAGATCACCGTTTACAATCTTGTGACAGTCCCTCATTGATCACAGCAATGACTGAGCAGAAGCAGAAACACTCCCTGTGCACAGCCAGTTTCGACAGGCTCTATGTGTGCTCCACAACTCACCTAGGAAGAAAGTTGCTGCCTGAGGCTAAGAACTGACTGCATTATCAGCCTGAAGTTTAAGACAGGTGCCAGCTCTTACCCACTGTATAGTATTTTTCCTTTCTTTAATGTAAGGCACAGTATAGCAGAGTTTCCGGGTTTTACATGTCTCATCTCTCTACCACACTCATGACTGCCTACTTCCTTCTCGTGAACTGAAACTATTCAATTTGGATGTCATCCTTCAGAAAAGGCACAGGTATCTTCAGCTTAGAGTCAGAATCACATCTCCTTAGCTGGTGACTAGGCTGGACCCCACCTGGCTACCAGAACAGGGGGAAAAATTGGTTCCAGGGCTTCTGAGAAAAGTTCTTTTGTTCTTAAAAAAGGAAATTGAGTAATTAACAATTATAGATACCAATAGCAATTAGTTCACGATTAACAATCAGTTCATAGTACTATAGTGCTTTACTTGAAATCTGCTAAGGGAGAGGATCTTATGTACAAAGAGACAGAGAAAGGGGGAGAACAGGCAATGGGCATTTTCATTAGCTTAATTGGGCCATTATTTCACATTGCCTATATATACCATAAACTTAAGTTGTATACCTTAAACATACCCACTTTCTATTTGCCAACCATTCTTCCATGTGAGCGGAAGAGAAAGCTAAGAGATGGCAGTCTCTTCCTCCTTTAGGCTTGGTTGGTTTTGCCCACAGGAAGTCTCCAGGCATTCTGCATTCACAGCAGGAACTAATCTGAGGCTGCAAGTCCTGCTGCCACAGACTGCTCCAAGGATTTGTGTTGGGATAAGAGGTTTCCTTGCATAGAAGCCACTAAGAGTCTGCTTTCTGTTACTTGTACCTAAAGAATCCACTCAGATACAAACTGAGCATTAGACCAAATTACAACCCTCAATGTATAAACAAGGCAACTAAGTCATGGGAAAGAAAACCAAGGAACTGACTGTCATGAGCTATAACTTACCTTAAAGCCATGGTGAACCAGACAACAGCCAGAATCAGGGTGTTCATCCTGTACGGCCCCATAACACAGTACAGAGCATTATCCCAGACCTAAAACCCACACCAGAGAAAGAGAGTCAGAGGAAGAAAGGGAGGCAGGAAGAGCTTACTTTGCAGGTTTTCTAATAAGCTGCCTAGCACATCCCAGAGGGAAGGGGAAGCCTGTTCTTTCCACAGAGAGAAACTCTAAATAACAAGGAAATTTTATCTCTTCTTTCTGACCAGCTTTGAACATATGTTATAGTATTTTTCCTGGGAACATAAGATTCCCTGGGTGTGACCAAAAGCACACCAAATTGGGATTCCAAGGCATTAACCTGCCTATGGATACTGGTGACATTCCAAATGTGTATTGGCCATAAAGCATGAGCACATCCAGTTTCGGTAGCCTACAGCTGGCTGGCTACCTTGGTGCTAAGCAGCTGGCTTCTTGTGTGCAGGTCCCCTGGAGAAACGGAGTCACCTTTTGTGAAGAATTCTTCCTGAAAGTCACTAAAATGCCCAAAGACCCATTTATTTCACTCATGTCTTCCCTCTATGGATTACTTACAGAAGTTGCTAGAGAGAAAGATGTTTAGACTGACTAAAATCCTGCTCTTAGAACAGCAAGATATTAAGGTTTAGAATGTTCAGGGCACATGGCAAGTTTAGAGGTAAGTATGCATGGAGGCAGCACCCCTCCCCAGAGCTGCTTCCTTTTCATCACTCTGCCTTAAGGTCAGATACTTGTGTGGTCTATCCTTCACTCACTGAAGATATAGACTCCCATGGAGCCACCCTCCCTTCCAACATATGTTCCCAAATTGTACCTGTTTGAAAGTGGTCATGAACCTGACCAGCCAGCGCTGGTACCAAGTTCCTGTTGAACTTTGGATCTCAATGAATTCATCCATTTGCTTGGGAGTTTTGATGTGGGAAACCTGGAAAGAAAAGGTGGATGTGACAATGTCAACCCTACTTAATCTCAAATTTTCTTTTCAATGTTTACTTTGAATTGACTTTTGTTGCATAGGACTGTCCTCTGACAGGCAGACCATGGACAGATGCCCTCTTCCCAAGCTTGGGTGTACCTTCTTGCCTAGGATCATCGCAGCTAAGCTAGTTGACTGTTACTCTCAGCAAGAAAGGAGGGGCAGCGAGAGTCAGCCACACCTTCGGACCAACCAGTTGGCCTTTGTTGCACAAGGGGAGGAGCTAAGGGTATATCAACTGAGGAAGCCAGGGGGAGGTGCTCTCACCATCCTGTGTAGCTATGGGGAAGTCAAGATCCATGCCTGAATGGAGACTTTCCAGTGCGGCCCTAGGAGGGGAATAGCCACACTCCTGGAAGTAAACCCTCACCCACTGTTCTCTAAGTAAGACCAATAAACTCTATGGTTTCCCACACTACAGTTTGGTGACATTGTACCTTGGTTTGTTATAGGGATCCAGAGAGGAGGGGGCCTATGTCATTTGAGCCTTCCAGAGGAATTTTAGCTACAACTTTTTTAACTTACGTGGGTAGAAGAGTATTTGACAATCCTCTGGTTTTTAACCAAAAGTGTATATATCAGCTGTCAGTGACCTTTCTGAAGTAAATATGTCCAACTGTGAGCAAAATGAACTATAATCTTTTTAGTAAATCAAACCTTTGAGAAATTTATATTACTGGGTATATAGTATGTTGAATGAGTAAACCTGATGCAGCCTCAAAATTTACAACTCTACCACCTGTGGGCAGAAGCCTCCCAGAAGTCAGGCAACAGTATAAGGGGAGGGGTGTTGCTAGTAGCATGTTTTAAAAGCATATCGGAATAAGAATAATCACGGCCTCCCTGGTATCTCTAGTTTTCTTGATAGAAATCAGAGCTATGGGGTCAGATAAAGTGGGATAGTTCAGTGTTCTTCACAAGGGCTGTGAAGTCCAATGTGAACAACCCAACTCACCAAGGCAGTGACTTTCAAGTTAATCTGATCCTTGAGGCAACACTTATATTGCACACCTAGTCAGTACCGGGGAAATGTCTGACCATGAAAATTCTTGTATTTGAGTTATCAAGGTCTACAATACTAGATAATCTCACAGAATTCATAGAACCGTCAGAAGCGTATGGTCAATAAAACCCAGGAAGAATTTCTATCACTCCTCCTACAAAGCTGTTGTGAAGGATAAACAGATCTGACTTCTCCATCTCTTTCTTTAGCTAATGGTCTGAGATTGTGAAGACACAAAAGAAAAACACACGTGGTTTAGACAGCCACAGGGAAAGACCTGTGTCTGGATATGGCCAGCTCACTTGCTACTGCCTATGTGCTGGGTCTGAGAGCTTGGCCATGCTTCTCTGAACCCAAACAGAGAAGTTCTTAGAGCTTTGGGATGTAAGGTCTGATGAGTACCAAGGCCCTTCTCTGAAGTCACATCTCCACACTCTATGAGCCTCTAGATTCACCATGCCATTTGTAGCTGTGCAGTCTTTGAAAATGCTCTTTTGCCTGGGGTCTTACGGGGAAACTGGACAACTACCACTGCAGGCTGTGAAGTAGAAGTCTTGGCTGGAGCTGGACTTCAAGTTATCCAACTCCATGGACATCCTGAGCCCCAGTTATAGCCAAAGAAAGCCAAAGGGGAAAGGTGGCACCAAATTAGGAGGCACCTTATAAACCACACTCTAAACTACTAAAATAGCCACTAGGGTATAAATTTGCTTTGCCACTTGGGAAAATAACACCCTGTTCCTAGGGATTTGAGAGTGGACATGGTGATGATTTCAAGCACGACTACTCTAATTTACAATTAATTAGAACACTTGTCTTTGATTCCATATGGAATAGTACAGGGTCTGTATTCCCACTTACTCTGTAGAACAAAACTTCTCAGCAGAGTGCTTCAACTCTCTGTTTCTGAAGGTTTCTTTGGAAGAACCTTCTGGGTGTGACTCTCCAGGTGTTTGTGAGGCAAAGAACAGAGCTGGTAAAACCTGCCACTCACAGGTCAAGGTGAGGAGCAGACATTTAGCCTTAACCTTAGGTACCACCCAGAATTTCAAGCTCATCTGGCTGTTCTGCTTAGTCCACTGAGTACATTTACAAATATTTTATGAGGGACACACAGGAAGGAGCTAGTAATTCTTTTGAGGGGTGTTGAGCAGAGTAGTCACCCCTGACAGCCAAGTACAGCCAGTTTCCTAGGGTCCATCAACATTTTCTGGTCCTCCTCCCTTCTAATTTCCCCTCCCTTCCTTTCCCCTTTCCATCCCTTTCCCCTTCCTCCTTCCCATTCTCCTTCCCCTCTCTTCCTTCTGTTTTCCCCTCCTTCCCATTCCTTTTCTCCTTGCTCTCTCCTTCCCTTTCTCCCTCCTTCCCTCCCTCCTTCCTTCCTGTGTTATCCCTCCTCCTTCTCCCCCTTTTCTCTTTGCCCTCCTTCCTTCCTCCCTTGCTTCCCCCTCCCTCCCCCTTCTCTGCCTTTCTTCCCCCCCTCCTCCTCCTCCCCTTCCCGTCTTTCCTTCTTCCTGGTCCACCCAGTTATCCACTTCTGCACAATTCCTGTGGTCAAAAAGTCAGTATGGAATACTGAATCCACAACCTTTTTTAGTTCTAGTTTCCTATTGGGTAAAAACTACTAAAAGCAGAAGCTACACCTCAGGATCTAGGGAGTAGCACAGTATGCTGTGAAAAGACAATTAATCCCAGCATCTGAGAGCCCCTATTCATTCATTTCTCCCTGAACTTTCTTCCCATAGAGCTGCTATCCCCAACACGAAGAACTCTAGTCCTGAAGCGAGACAACTTAGCTTTTGCCTTTGGAAATTGTGATTTTGTTGGTAATAGCATCTTAAACTCCCCACCAGTAGAAATTAAACAAGGCAAGTGCTCCAACTAGGCCAGTGTGCTTCCACATTTGCCCTGAGAGACTGTTCCCTCATGCTCCTTCAGTGAAATCTGAACCACTTCTGGGATGAAGCTATGGACTCAAAAATCCCTTTCTGCTCAGATCAACTTTTCAGTGTGCTAGAGTTTATCTCCTAACATGTTGTCAAGTAAGAATAGAATCACTTTTCTAAAGCAGACTCTCAGTCACATAAGGCAAGCCAGTTGATCAGAAGTATTTCTTACAGAGGCGTCAGTCGGGATGCCCTGGGAGAGCACCTCTGTATGGAAGGGTGACCAAGGGTAAGCTGAGAATCCAAGAGTACAGATACCTGGGAATAAAGGACACACACACAAAATGGGGTGGAGAGGAACCTTCTACCAGGGCTTCTCTCAGGGGAGTCTATCATTGTGAAGAATCTGCTTAATAGACGCTGTGAGCTACAGAGACATCCCAGAGAAATACATTCAGACCTGAAAGACCAATAGCTTACCACACGTGAGCCAGAGAGGGTTTCCTCTGGGAGGAAGGAGATTCACAAAAATAGGCAAAGAGGGGAGAGGGCTGGGAGAAAGGAAAGGAACGAGAAAGCTGTGTGCTCTGATATAATTCCTGTTCCTTAAATTTTCAGTACACCATTAAACTCACAAACACTGCGGTGGGTGCCTAAGTGTGTGCTTTGTAGCAGGTTGATGTGCTATAAAACCTATTTCAGGGGCTGGAGAGATGGCTCAGTGGTTAAGAGCACTGGCTGCTATTGCAGAGGACCCAGGTTCAATTCTTAGCACCCACCATCTATAACTCTAGTTCCAGGGGATCTGATGCTTTCTTCTGACTTCTGTGGGCATTGCACAACACAGGTGAATTTACACACATGCAGGCAATACACTTATACACATAAAATAAAAATAATAAAGAAAATATTTTGTGAAAAAAAAATTATTGCAGCTGGTAAAGACTCAGAGGCTGAAACCAGAGAGAGAACTTTGAAATGTCTCCTGGGAAAAATCAGAAGCTTGAAAGATATTTGGATTGTAGAACAGAGCAGGGAGGAGGCTGTAGGAATTAAGTAAGTTTACCCAGATCCCAGTGGGTAGGAAGTCTCCCCTAACATCTGGCTTCTGAAACTAGCCTGGCTGGGCATCACAGTCCATCAAGCAGAACATGAGGATGGAGGACTGGGAGGACCATTTACCCTTAACATCTTCAGTTGGAGTATTTCTGTTAATTGTGCTATTAATAAATTTTTTAATAAAAGCGTTGGTCCCATGAAAGCCGAAGCAAAACTGTCTGGGAAACAAAGAGAACTAATGGAAGAGGGTGGGGGAAGAAAAGGGAGGGGAAGGGAAGAGGCAGGGGAGGGGATTTGCTCAATATACAGTATATACTTGTATATACAAATTTCAAAAATAATGAAAAAGTAAAAATAAAATGCCTATGTTTGGGGTATTTTAGGAGCATTGGAACTGGGAAGATAGACTATTGAGCAGTTTTCTCTAAACTTTATAATGCACTAATTTATGAAAAAATGTCATAACATTTTTAATAATAGTTATTTTATAGCACTCCAAGGCAGGCAGTGCATCCTTCAGTCTCCTATAGTTATAATATCTATACTGTCTTTATAGATACTGCTATCTGCCTTTTCCCATGCGGAAACTGAAGCACAGAGAGCAGCGTTCCAAAAGCTACACAGCTACAAGTATCAGAACAGGGGATTGGACCTAAACTGCCTGGCTCTAGGTGCTGAACCACCATGTGATGCTGCCTGAGAATTTGGGGGGAGGTTGTTTAATTCTTTTAATTAATTTTTTATTTTTATTTTATGTGTACAAGTGTTTTGCCTACATGTAAGTGCACCATGTGTGTGTAATGCCCACAGAAGTCAGAAGAGGGTATGGGGTCCCTTGGAACTGGAGTTACAGTTGTTAGCCACCATGTGGGTACTGGGAACCCAACCCCGGTCTTCTGTAAGTACAGTCAATGCCCTTAACCACTGAGCCATCTCTCCAGCCTCTGAGAATCAGTGGAAAACTCAGCACCCCCAAAGAAAGCAGCAGGTGAACAATGACAAGCATTTTACTCTAGACTGAAGTTATAGATGCCAAGGAATCAAAAACCATGAATGGGAGCTATTGGGGAATTCATCCAGGAAGGCTTCCTAGAGGAAAAGGATGTGAAGTGAGTCTTACAGAAAGTTATGAAAGTAGGCAGAAAGAGCTGCCTATAGCAAGTATTCCTTGTGCTTAATCACCAAGCATGGCAGAGAGGAACACAGCTCTGTCTGCCCTGGAACACCTTTGTGAAAATTGCCATTTACTTGTTCTTAAATCCAGGCTAATAGCCAGTGCGGATGGGGTACAAAGAAATGAGTACCCTGGTACTTGTGCGTTTGTGGAATTACATTCCTCTAATGGGATGTAACTTGGAAATACATCTCAAGAGCTATGAACACGCCTTCTCTTTAAGCCCGTAATTTTATTTCTATAGAACATGAAGGGAGACGAGCTATGTGGGCAAGAAGGTTCATCATCACATTTATAGAAACAAGGCAATAAAATGGCATAAATGAATCTCTAACAAAGGGGCCATGTTGAAAACTGTGTTAATGTTCTGAACACTGATGTTCATTAAAATGACGGTATGAGAGGCTAATGGGGGAAAGGATGGCTGTGAACACTATGAGGCAACATGCAAAATGCTCAGGAGTGCTGTCGAACACTGGTATGTAAATATACACATGTGCTCATGTCCATATGAATATATCTGCCTTTTCAAAAATATTTTATTTTTTATGTGTATGCGTATTTGCTTGTATGAATGTACATCATATGCATGCCTGGTACCTGCAGCAGCCAGAAGAGGGTGTCAGATCCCCTGGGACTGGAGTTACAATGAGCTACCATGTGGGTGCTGAGAACCAAACCTGGGTCTTCTGCAAGAGTAGCAAGTGCCCTTAACCACTGAGCCATCTCTCCATCTCTATAGACTTTTCTCTTTTAATTGTGTGTGTGTGTGTGTGTGTGTGTGTGTGCGCGCGCGCGCGCGTGTGTGTTCAGGTGCATGCATGTGGAAGGCAGAGCCCACTGAGCCATCTTGCCAGCCTAGCTAGTTTTTTTATAGTAGCATTTTCTAATACTACCTAAGGAAAAATCTAGAAAGATATCTATGCAAAGAATAAGGTTAAAGAGATGGCTTAGTCAATAGAGTTACTATACAAGCATGAAGACCTAAGTTCAAGTCCCAGAATTCACAATAAAAAAGCTGGGAATGATGGTGTGGTCTTGTAATGTCAGTGATCAGGAGGTGGTGACACGTGGATTCCTTAGGTTTTCTGGCCAGCCAGCCCAGCCTACTTAGGAAGTTCCAGGTTAAAGTGGGAAAGCCTGTCTCACATACATGTACACACACACACACACACACACACACACACACACACACACTAATGCAAAGAATAATTCTAACAAAGTGGTATGAATTTCATGTTTGAAAGTAAAAGAAATGTTAAAGGAATGCTTTTCTTTTGGCAAAGTTGCTGTTCCGTGAAACCACACAGTAGCAAAGCCCCCTCTTGCTGCAGGCCAGCACATACTCACCGTAAACACCTTCTCGGGAGCCCCCTTAGCCCTCATGTTGGTGTCATGGACTTGCTTGAGAATCATCCAGGCTTCATCATGTTTTCCCATCTGGAAAAAGACAAAGTCATAGACATGAAAGTTCATGGCTGAATATGTCTTCTGTTCACTGAGAGTGGAAAACGCAACACCCCCAAAGAAAGTACTGTTACTTGGGTCTAAGGGATTAGACATCGGCTCCTTGCCTGAGATAGCCTAGGATAAGTCCCCAGCCTGCATTGAGAGGATAATCAGGTTGTGCCTTTGAAGGGTAAATGCCAGGGGTTTCATTCACTACCCTCTATGAATTAACTACTCTCACTGTAAAGTTGAGTGGATTGTAAAGGGGAAGCCATGCTCCTCGCTGAGAAGATAAAGCAAAGAAACAACATATGATGGGTGAGATCTTAAGTATCACCCCACCCCCACCCCGCCCTGCAACATAGAAAGGACTGCTACAGATGGAGTTAGTTCAAATGAGTTCATCCTGGAGCAGGGTGGAACTCCAATCCAATATGATTGGTGTCCTAAATGAAGACAGTCATAGAGATACAAAGGGAGACCAGCACACTGTGAAGAACGTTGCAATCCAAGCACCACAGCGGCAAGCCAAGGAGCTGCAAAAGTGGCCTTCAACGCACCAGACTGCAGAGAACAAAGAAGACTACCCCTTTTAGGTTTCAGAGAGAGCATAGCCATGACAATACCTTCCAAAACTGTGAGACACATTTGTTAAAGTACTCTCTTTGTTATGGCATCCCTAAGAAACAAAGGTGCATTTTGCAATAACCCTGATTTAGAACTCTCTGCCTGCTGCATGCAACCACTCAGTGGGATGCAAGAGAAAACTTGATGAATTATCACTGTAGAAAACTCAAGGAGGCTAATCTGGTGTGCTCGATAGCTTTAGCGTTAACTTGACATACCTGGATTGAGGGAGCCTCACTTGGGGAATTCCTCCATTGAACTGGCCTGTGGCCATGTCTGTGAGGCATCTTCTTGGATTGTTGTGTGATGTGGGAGGGCCCAGTCTACTGTGGATGGTGCCACCCCTGGGCAGGTGGGCCTGTGTTGCATAAGATAGCAGGTTGAGCAGGGGCCAGGGAACAAGCCAGGAAGCATCATTCCTCCATGGCTTGTGCTCCAGCTCCTGCTTCCAGGCTCCTGCCCTGAGTTTCTACATTGGGCTCCCTGATGAACTGTGACCTGGGAGATGTAAGCTAAATAAACCCTTTCTTCCCCTAGTTGGTAGTGGTCAGAGTGTTTTGTCACAGCAGTGAAGAGACAAACTAGGACATCTGGGACTACAAGAGGCTGTCTTTTCACCCAATCCCAGTTCCCACCCCACCATCTGGCCACTTTCAGGCCAGAATCTGGAAGGCTCTTAGGATCATCAGGACCCCAAGGCAACTTTCTGGTGAATAGAAGCCTGCATGGCTAAAAATTCTGAAGGCCCTGAGGCAGCATCAAGCTTTACCATAGAGCTCACTGCTGCCATACAGCAAGTCATCATGAGCTATGAAAGGTCCCCTATCCAGGACCTCTACGAGAAGGTGACACCAGGTGGCAACCCAGAGGCTGCCCCTTCAGTCCCACTCAGCCTGGGAGAGAGCTCCTGCCCTTGGTCCCTCTAACACTGACAGGCCAGGAATCCATGACTTGCCACCATCACTAACTGGAAGGGAGGCAGATTTAACAACAGGCAAGGTCAGCAACATGGGAAAATGTGCAGTGTGCAATGATGAGAAAACACTCAGCCAGGGACTGAGAAGGCAAGGCCAGGACTCCTATGGCTGGTGGGGGCTCACCTCTAGCAGAAACCTGGGGCTTTCTGGCATGAACTTCAGTGCCACCATGGACACGGTGCAGGGCAGAGCACAGACGATGACAAACACTCTCCAGCTGTGGAAGTGGTAATTGGTCCCCATGCTGAAGCCCCAACCTGTGAAGATGCAGAAGGTTTATGAACAGTCTCTCCCACTTCAGGCAAGTAACTCTCTCAAGCTCACCAGCTCTCAAACTCAAGGACACTCAAGCCTCATCGGAGAAGATGGTGAAAACACAGACTCCCTGCTGCACCCAAAGCTTCTCAGACATGAGTCCAGGATGTGAGCTGGAATCTGCATTTGGACAAATCCTGAGCCCCTGGGCCTGGCCTGACATTTACAGAGCCCTGGATAAAAGCACAAATAGAAACAGTGCTCATAGTCAGACATGGTGTTGCATGCTTTTATCCCAACACTCGGGAGACTAAGACAGGAGGATTGCTGCAAGTCCAAAGTACATACTGAGACCCTGTCTTTAAATAAAAAAAAAAAAAACCAACACCCTATTATCCTATATTTGGTTTTGGTTTTGGTTTTAAGATAGGGTCTTGTGTCACCTTGACCTGGAACTCACTATATAGTCAAGGATGATCTTGAACTTCTGATTCTCCTGCCTCCACCTCAAAAATGCTGGGATTGCATGCATATGCCACCATACTGCTACCTAGTTAATGTGGCACTGGAGATCAAATTGAGGGCCTCATGCATACTAGACATTCTACTAACTGAGCTACATCCTTAGCCCTATGTAGGTATTTAATTTTAGTAAAAAAATGGTTAACTGAAAGGTATTCTATTGACATACCTTGACAAACAATGGCCTAGAAGGCCAGGGCTAGAATTATACTCATTTTCACTGGACACCATTCTCTTCCTCCCTAGTTCTTCCCAGAGATCAAGAGGCCGCATGCCAGCATGGTGGATACACCCCCACAGACTGCCATGGTGAGAAACAGTGCTCTTGTCTTGATCACTGGAGCTTAGTGGGATTGAGTTCCCAGAACATGGTCCAGTTGGGAGGGGGTTTGGGGCATCCAGGAAACTCTTGTCTCAGCCCAAAGCAGGCCTTCTCTGGCCCAGAACTTGGGGTTCCCTCTCATCCAGGTCAAAAAACAATATCAGTTCCAGTTGATTCCAATGTAAAGGCTTCAGGGAGGCCCTTTGGAAAACACTGCATGTCCTATTTGATGGAATATGTTTTTCATAAACAACCATTTTTCTCCATTCAACCATAAACAACCATTTTTCTCCATCACTGAAATGGGAGATGACTAGGTCTCATGCAGCTGTCTTTGTACAAAGTGTTGCTAAATTCATTTTTAGAGTTTACATTATGAAAGCATTTTTTACTTATTATTTTTATTTTATGTGTACGAGTGTATTGACTGCACGTATGTGAGTGCACCTGTGTTGTGCAATGTCATACAGATCAGAAGAGGGCTTCGGATTCCCTTGGAACTGGAGTTAAGGATGGTTCGTAGCTGCCATGTGGATGCTGGGAATCAAACCCAGGTCCTCTGCAAGAGCAATCAGTGCTCTTAACCACTGAGCCATTTCTCCAGGCCCAAAAGCACAATTTTTTAAGACATTTTATTAGTGTGATCTGTTTCATGAAGTGATGGATTTCATAGCAACAAGATCGAGTAGACCTTGTATTCTAACCGTATTCACACCCCAAGATACTCTCATGTACCCCTCCCACCAGTCCCCTTCCTCTTCCCAATTTGTCCCCCTCTACTTTCATGTCACATGTATATAGTTAAATCTATGCCCTACACATGAAAGAAAACATGCAATATTTGTCTTTGAGTCTGGCTTGTTCCACTTAATGATACTCTCCAGTTCCATCCATTTTCATGCAAATGACATCATTTTGTTGTCTGTGACCAAGACTCCATTCTACCTCTATACCATGTTTTCTTCATCCATTCATCTGTTAATGGGCACACAGTCTGCTTCCATATCTCAGCCATTGTGAATCGAGCTGCAGTAAACATGGATGTGCAGGTACCTCCACAGTATGCTAACTTAGATTACTGTGTGGATACACCCAGGAAGGGTATAGCTGGATCATATGAGAGTTCTATTTTTAGTTTTTTGAGGAACCTTTATAGTGATTTCTATAATGGCTGTGCTAGTTTACAGGAATGTCAATTTTAACGCCCTAGGGTGGTCAACTTCCCTCTTTTAAGGAGCACTTCCCTCTTTTGAGAAGAGCCCGGGCTTTTGTTGACACAGAGATCAGAGTTCAATTCCTGACTTTATCATGTCATTATATTGATGGGTGTTCACAGATGTAGAATGCAGGTAATAATACCCTACAGGTTTGCTGTGTGTGCCAACTACTAGCAACCCATTATAACTCAACCTGCTTCAAGACCAAATTTTTTTTTTTAAGTAATTACATGCATTAGAGTACACTGCACACTGAAGGCCACAACTGGCCAAGTTTTGAAGAATAAGAGACTATAAAATGTAGGATGGGACTCCTATATGGAACCTCACCCACCCACAGCTCAGGGACCATTGCAGAAGAGGAGGCAGAATGATTGTGTGAGCCAGGGCTGGTTCATGAACACAGGGAGGTGGAGGCTTCCAGGTCACTGGAGGCTTGCTCATGTGAGCCTGTGGTAGTGGTGGCATAGAGCGTGGGACCCATGTCAGCTCAGTTAAAAAAGGGCCCAAAGAGGAGGTGAGAAATAGGTGGCCGGCCAGCACTAGACTGAGAACTATTGGGACTGATTGTTGCTGGGCTGAGGGAGAGTATGACTGGAGTCTAGTCAGCCCACTGGATGGGCTGACTAGACTCCAGTGGATGCATTCACACTGAAGGACATTTGCATATAAACATCTGAATACATAGGACTCAGCATGTATAGCAGAATGCATAGGGTTCAGTGGGGGGATAGAGGGAGGCATGGATGGGGGAGGGGACCTGGATTTGAGTGTGAAATGTATGAAATTTTAAAAACTCAATTAAAAAGTATTTAAAATTTAGTTAGAAAAATCTGGGGAGATGGCTCAGTGAGCAAAGAGACTGTTAGGCGAGCATAAGGACCTAAGTTTGGGTTCCCAGAACCCACATAAAAGCCAGGTGCAGAAGTGCATATCTGTAACTCCAGTGCTGGGGATGGTAAAATACAGTCAGATCCCTGGAGCTCACTGGCCTGTCAATATAACTGAAATAAGGAGCTTCAGGTTCAGTGAGAGACCATGCCTCAAAAAGCAAGGTGGAGAGTGACTAAGACACCTGGCACCAACATCTGGCTTCTACATGTGTACTTGTGACTCCTGTGAACACACACGGGAACACACACATATACATAAAAAATTAATAGTAATTTTACATATTTATTATAAAACTTTGATTACTCAATTATTCTTCAGGGTAATAAGAGAAACTTGGTTTGGTGACAACAGAACTAAAGATAAAACAAAATTATATTATTTTCCAGAAATCTCAAACATATCCTGAAAACAAAATAAAATTAAGCAGTTTACTTGAAGGTAGAGAAATGATGCAATGAAAATTAAATTCAGTCCCTTGGTCGAGGGCAAAACCTATTGGTATGAACAAATTCCTTTAAAATTGTCTCTGCTCCTGACTGTGTAATTTCATGTATGCTTGCTTTATGGTCTGATAAAGAAGGGAAGGGCACAAGATTGTTTTCCAAGACAACCTTGAACTATCAAACTCTGTTCTTGACTTTGGGATTAATAACATCTCCTGATGTTTTTTGTTACCCCCACCCCACATTACCTTGTTACATTCTTTGTTTTTCCTATTTATGTGTCTTTAATCATGATTAGAAATTTGTTTTGTGAAATAATGCTTCCAGAAAAATAAAACTAAACCTTTGTTAAAGATTCTGTAAGTCTGGGAAAAAAAAATAAGCAAATGACATTTAGTCTAAAAGTTGTTGAATAAACTGGATGAATTGTTTTTTAAAAAGCAAAGGTTGAAGACAGGCATGGTGGCGCATGCCTTTAACTCTAGCACTGACCCGAGCCAGGCAGATCTCTGTGAGATCCAGGTTAGCCTGGATTATATAATAAGTTTCAGGAAACGTGGGGCTACAGGGAGACCCTGTCTCAAAGGTTGAGGTCATAATACTGAAACAGCATTTTAATAGACAATATTTTAGATATACATTCATTCCCAAAGTTTAGAAGATAGTAATTATTTAAATATAATTTTTTTCTAGTTCTTTCTCTAAGTAATATGCTTTATGTCTAACTCCAGCGATGGACAGTTTGTCTTGAGTTTTCTACGATCTTCGTTGTGGTTCAGCTTGTTCCACCTCATTTGACTCCTAACCCATATCTGCTGTGCCTGCTCAGCCAACACAACTGACCAACAACGAAGCAGAAGGAGTCCAGGTGGGAGAGGACGGCTGCTGGCCCCTTAGGCACGTTTGGCCACAGCCGGAGTACGTGCACCTCATCCTGCACACTCCATCAGAATCACACCTCTTTTCGCACAGCTTGAGCTCTTCTCATCTCACTGGGGTTTGTTTGTTCACTTCAATTTTAATTAAAAAGCCTTTCCTTCTGCCAGGGAGTAACACTAATCAGGGAAAGATAAAAACCTTAGCAATATTTATATATTCTCGGCACAGGTCCATTCTGGCACGACTAGAAATAAAGTTGACTAAAACTACCCAGCAGTCAAACTCAAGTGGATAACTAGGCAAGAGGGACTGACATTGGTGTATTTATAAAGCATCCTGCCTCAGAGAGATCCTTTTTCTTTATGAGAACATGTGTAAAATATCCAATATCAGTTTTCCCTCATGCATCTATGGTTTTTATGGTGATTTCAATAATCTGCATTTACTGCACCCATCAGGCACATCTTTGGGGCCTTAAATTGAATGAAATTAAACGGTGAACTGCTTCCAAATATTTGGAACAATATTAATACAGAGGCAGGAATTGTTCTGTTCACTGATCTTTTAGCTTGGCCTACTTTTCTGTCAGGATTTCACAAACATCTGGTGGAGCTGGCTACAATGGGAGTTAATCTTCCATTATGTATCTGTTTCCCCCACTGCCAGGCTGTACCCATGAATTTTGAAGAAAACATTCTGGGTTTTGTAATTTTCCCTTTTAATGA